TTGCTGCTAGTCCTGCTGCTATTGGGCACAAGAGGAGAGGACAAACTGCACATCAGCCACTAGGAAGTGCGGTTGGCAGTCTGACCCAACTTGACCCAACCTTCAGATCTCAGAGACTCAGCCTGAGGATGCAGAGACAACCAGCTAATTGTACTCACTGCAGCCCAGACCAAAGCTTGTCCTCACTCTGTAGCCTATTCCTGAGACCTTTCCCAGGACCTGTAGCCTGTTCCAGGATCACATGCCAGTGTTCACGAATATGAGCCAGCACCTGTATGTACGCTCAGGCAGCACCAGATGTGCCAGGGAAAAGCAGACGGCCTTGATATGCTTAGCTCTGTATTGCTGATACAGGTGTCTGTGGCCTTTGAGGACAACATCCTGTGAGTTAGGGATCCAGGAGGTCTGTGTTGTAGCCCTGGATCAGCTACTAAATACTTAAAAGCCCTGAGAATCATGTCTGTCTTTGGGACTCAATTTGGGCTTCAAGTCACTACTGTGTTCTGAGATACTATAGCAGTCATTGCCAACCAATACCTTTCCTTGTCCTGGAGGAAGGGAGGGAGAGAGGCCCTTGGGAGCGGGCTGGGGGTTCCTTACATCTCCCAGTGTGGCTCACTGCATGGTTCTACACACCCCTCTCCATCGAGTCCAGCCTATCCCTGCGGACAGCATAAGCCCCCAGTCCCCCCTGACACCACTCCCTTATCTCCATTTCCAGCCTCCTACAGCACAGTTGGAATAAACTTTCTAGGCTACATTGGATGGATGGTTCCCCCTTAGCTTGGTGGGCTTTCTCTTGCCTCCTTACCAGATTCCCTATCTACGGAGTTGCTCTGTGGGTGAGGGAAGCGGTGTGTGTGTGTGCATTTGGAGGGGGTCTTCGGTCCCCTGTCCTGACAGCAGGCATGGTGCCCCCTGAGAAGAAGCTGGCTGGAGAGGTCTCCAACTCCACCAAGCACAAGCAGTACTTCAGTGAACAGTGGATGGAATTGTTTCCCCGCCTGGACTCTGACTACAAGCAGAAGCTGATGTTCTTCTGTCTAGAGTGTCATCAGGCCCTGGTGCACAACAAGCATGCCAAAACCAAGAATGCTTTCATGGTGGGCACTGGCAACTTTCTGGGCTTTGGCAGTCAACCAGGACCAGCCCACTCTGGAAGACCCTGCTGAGGGTGGAGGAACCTACCCCAGCCTGGCAACCGCTCGCACCTCCAAGGTCGTCAAGGTAGAGGCAGACCTGGCCGAAGTGGTTGTGTTGAGCATGTGGATTATGTGGCTAAAGAGGATGTACCTGATAACCGATGTTCGACCCCCCCCCCCCGAGCTGTAGAGGTTCAACCTGGGTCTGATGCTGATGGGCACAGAGTGGGATGAATACTACAGCCCCAGGAGGGTGAGGGACATGCAGGTGGGTGGCAGCCAGAGGTAAGGGGAGACACTGAGCCACCTGGGAAAAGCTTCAATATGCTAGGCCCTTGGGTAGTAACTAGCACACTTCATTCATATCTCCACTCTGCCAGACCTTCACCAAGTGCTGCCTACATGCCTGGCACTGGGCCAGCCATACTGAGTACAACAGTAAAGAAGCCAGGCCTGGCCCTTATCAGTGGGTGAACGCAGGCATGCTTCTCACTCCCTAGGCCAGAGGTTGCAAACTGATCTTGGGCCATGACTGACTTACCATTGAGTTTGATGAGTTTTTACTGTGCTTTTAAAAGCTCAAATTAGTTTCAATTAAAAAAAATAAATCCAGCTGGGTATGGTGGTACACACTTTTATCTCAGCACTGAGGAGGCAGAGGCAGGAAGGGTCTACAGAAGTTCGAGGCCAGCTTGGTGTACTTAGTGTATTACAAATTCAATAAGTGGCTCTGAGTCTGTCTGGCCCCAGGCTTGTGCTCTTCCAACAACCCTGAGCTGCCTGTCTCCCCTAAGCCCCCAGCCTATAGGACAAGCCTAACTCTCCCCCTCTTCCCCCCCACAGCTGTCCCAGGTGGCTATTGCCAGTATCTTGCACACAGAGGCCTCCCAACCCCTGAAGGCATCTGCTTGTGTTAGGTGAGACCAGGAACTGGGCAGAGTTCCATAGTCTGGCCCTGTTTGCCACTTTGGTGTTCCCATGTAATAACCAGCCTGCTACTATTGTTGTGAGGAGTGTGAGGCTACAGGGGGGTGAGGCTACTGATTGCCAACTCCTGGACATCCTAGAGTCTTTGGCATATCTACACCCAAACTGGCCTGACTCCGTTCAAGCCTCCTCAGTGACTGCCTGGGAATTGTCAGCCTGCAGCTCAGGGCCATTTGCCCACTGCTTATGAATCTGCACTGATAACCTGGCTGGACAGACCCTAAACCCCATGAATATGAGAGTACATTGGATGCTTTGTTCTGTTGCACGGTGGCTTCAGTTCCCACCAGGTCGCCGAGCTCCCTGCAGCCTTGCACTTTGCAGCTATTGACTTGACAGGTCCCCTGCTAATACCTTGGGGTTTCTTGGGGTTGCTTGCTGTAAAAGCAGTGGCCGAGACCTGGCCATGCTTGCTGTGCTCTTTGGGAGCCGCTTTGGCCTCGGCTCTGTGCCAGTTCACCTTCCTACGAAGCCTTCACCCACTGCTGCTAGACGCTCTGGTGCAGAAGCTGGCTCTGGTCCTGCAGCACGAAGAGCCAGACCTCACGTTGCTGCAGCCGGTGGTGATGGCAGCCGCACAAGTTCAGCTCGGCTCCCGACGCGCGCGGCTCCATGGCTTCCCATGGATCTTCCATGGCGATCTCAGAGTCTGACTCCAACGCGGATGGGCGAACGCTGCACCTACTGTAGTGTAAAGCTGCCTGGGCTACTCGGAGGTTGCACTGCGAGGCTTGGAGCGCCACTGAAAGGACTCCGTGCGAAGAGGGTTGCGGGACTCCTTCCCCGGACCCTCGCTGGATGCAATGGCCGCGTTGGTGGCGATCTTTGATCCCCGCCGTTACCGGCAGGCACCTGGAGAGCTGTGCGCGCCTGGCAAGAGACCGCTGCGGGTGTTACTGCGGGGCTTCGCGCCCGCGGCGGTGTGCCACCGTGCTAGGGGACTTGGTGCTCTTTGAGCCTCGGGCGCCTCTGCCGGCGCACATTCCGAGGAGCTACACAAGCTCTTTCCCCGACCGAGTCCTAGCCTCCCTGACCTTGGTGCTGCTCGTGGGTGCAGAGCTGCTGGTCAAGGTGGGCTGCAGGCACAAGCTGCCGTCGTGGGGACAAAGGGGCCGCAGTTTGGCGGCCAGGTGGTGAAGGTCGTGGTGGATGCCACCCCCTCCCCCAGCTGCACGAGTTTGATTCCGCTCTGGCCATAGAGTTCTCAGAGTTGGGTGTGGGAGGGACCTCTGGGGTGGCACTTTGACCTCTCCTTACCTTAGCTGGGGGGGGGGCAGGGCGTGGAAATTGAAGGGTACAGGCACCCAGCCTTAATCATACTACAGTCAAGCTGACCTACTAACTGCTCTTCTCCCCTACTCATCACCAAACTAAACCCCTGGCCTATGAGGAAAGAGAGCCTAGGCAAGTAGGTTGAACGCCGCGCCCCCCCCCCCCCCCCCCCCCCCGCGCCCCCTCCGCCACTACCACCCTATCCGCTCGCCTGTCTGGCCTTTCAGAATTTTCCTTTCTCCTTCTGGATCCTTCCCTTGGGTTTCCAGTTTCCATTAAAAAAGGAGGTTGGGCCTTAGGAGCTGGGAGAACAGAGGTGAAGGAGAGTAGATTCCTGATAATTTTCTTGCCCCATGCTTTGCAGTGTCTTTTTGCCTACAAAATGATAAATCAAATGGTGGTGCTTGCTTCTGACACAGCACAGACTAATGGGTCAAAGCACACAGTGATTCCAGGGAGGTCGTGGTGCCCCCTGTCCCACACTCCCCCTCCCATCTGCTGCCTGCCGGCTTCCCTGTATATGGCTGTGTTTATAGGCATACATACATCTGCAGGTGCTAAATAAACCCATCTGGTGTATCTGGGGGTTAACACCCAAGAATTGAAAGGGAATTCTTTGGGTTTGGCAATTACAGGACCCAAGTAAATCTCCAGTAACCTGGATTGCTTTCTGCTTTTATTTTTTTTTTCCTTCTCCTCCTTGAAATCTGGTTTGTCGGTTTCCAGCCCCCTTCTCCCTTTACTTCACACTGTTAAGACCAAAGACTACAAAACCACAGTGATGTTTCTGTGGGCCCAGAGGATTGGCTTGGGGTCTCACCCTGGATGCTGGATGGGGTGCACCCTCTGGGAAGCAGCAGGTACCTCACCAGCACTGGAGACCCGAATATTCAGAATGCTGTGTGTTTTTTTCTTCCTTCTTAATTTTGTGGGACGTTTTAGATTTATTTGATACGTATCTGTGCTTTGTCTGCATACATATATAGGTACCACATGTGTGCCTGATACCTACAGAGGTCAGAAGCAGACAGTGGGTCCCCTGTAACTGGAGTTACAGTTGTGAGCTGCCATGTGGGTGCTGGGAATCGACCCGGGTCCCGTAGAATGTCCAGTGCTCTGACCACTGTGCCATCTCTCCTACCCTACGCTTTGGGTTTCTTTTCACCTCATCTGTGAGTGGCATGGAAGCAGAAGTGAGAAAGGGACAGGTGGTGAGACAGAAAAGAGTTGGCCTTTCCCCATACTCCCAGAGTTTGGTGCTTTGGGATCAAGTGGGACAAATAGTGTGTCATGCTGTCACCATGGCTTTGTGTAGGTCAAGCCTGACTCCTCTGACCCCTCTCTTGGCTGGACTCCCTTTAGTGTCTATTTGGGCCACTGTGCTGACCCTGTCAGTGAGAAAAGGTCACTCTTCTGCTTAGAAGACTTGATCTGTGGACCCCCTGACTCTGCTTCCCCAACTGAGTTGGGCTGGTACGATTATAAAGAGGGAGCCAGGAGTTCCTGTGTTGGCAGTACTTGGCCTTTTGTTCTGGCAGCAGAGGTGGTAGAGAGCCCTGTGGCTCCTCATTTCAGCCCTTGCCCTTCTTCCTCCTGCAGCAGGTCCAGCCTCCAGTGCCCCCAGCCCCTTGCTGGCCTCACTGACCCTGCCTACCCGGCCTCTGCAACCCCCGCTGGACTTGAAGCACCTGCTCGCCTTCCACCTCAATGGCACCACCCCGCTCAGTCTCTTCCCCAACTTCAGCACGGTATGGGCTGGGCAGGAGGGTGGGGGCATATGCAACTTCAGCATGGTATGGAGTGGGCAAGGAAGGTGACTTGGCTGGACCTAGATGCTATCAAACAGGGACCCAGAACCCAGCTGTCTCCTACCTAGAGATGAAGATGATGTCATCCCTACCCCACCATCACAACTGCCCAGAGATGGTTTTTTAATGGGTGATCTATGTGTGTCTGTGTGCACTTGAGTTAGGGGTTAAAGATTTTTTTTTTATTATTTCTGTATTTAGCTATGTGTGCGTCAGTATGTGTTCACATGTGTGGGTGCACATGCCTGTGCACGTGGAGCAGCCAGGGGAGGTCATTGGATGTCCTCTGCGATCTCTCCCTGAACCTGGAGTGCCTGTTTTCTCAGCAAAGCTGGAGACCAGTGTTGAGATTTTGTTTGTTGTTATGTATTGTAAGGCTAAATACTAATCCTGGTTGCCCTCGGGGATGAGAGAAAATCCTCACATACACCAAGTGATGCTATGTAACCTTGCTTCTTAATTTAAAACTATTGGATGAATAAAGATGCCGACAGCATTTATCTGGTCAGAAGAGAGTTAGGTGGGGATTCAGTTCCCAGGGTTGGAGTCTGAGGAGGATCATGAGAGAGGAAGAAGAAGGTAGAGGAGGAAGAAGAACAAGGGGGAGAGAGGAGAAGGTGCAAAGAGAGGAGATGGACCATGAGCACATGACCAGGAGAAGCAGCAAGTATTTGGGGGACACCCCTGGGGAGGTAGCCAGGCCAGCAGTTAGAAAAGTAGATTAGGGGTTAGCCCCCAGTAATTATTAAAGCCAAATAAAATAGCCATAGACTGAGTCTCATTTATTTGTAAGCTAGTTGGGGATAAATTTAAATTGGTTCTACTACAGATTAGCATGACCCAGCAATCCTCCTGCCGTCATTCCCAGGGGGCTGAGATTACAGACTTGCATAAGGCCTCCTGGGTTGTTTTATGGGTGCTGGAATCCAAATCTTGGCCCTAACAATTGCATGGCAAGTGCTCTTAACTGCTGAGCTATGGCTCCAGACCTTGGGTTATATCTTTGTCTTGGAGCTTGTGCACCTACCTGGAGGTCTGTGTGTTATGTGTGGGTGAGAGTTCATGTATTATTTGTGAAGATGTGTGTGTGTCTATGCCTAGGGATTTGTAATGTACTACGTGCACATGTGAATCTGAGGGGTTTGGGTGTCTTTGTGTCTTCTCTTGTGTGCTGGGTATGGCCGTATTTTAGGTGAGAGTCCATCTGTGCTTGCATAGTATCTGTGTGTCTGAGAATGTCTTTCTACTTGTCTGTGAGTCTATAACTGCAGCTAAGGATGTGCGCTTGGGTCTGTATATTTCTCTCCTGTACTTGGACTCACTTGTGGTGTGTGTGGGGTGGGGGGACAAATGTTAGGAGCACTCTATGAGGTATGAGGAACAGCTCCCCCCTTAATTCTCAAAAATCAAATGAAGTCATGGATGAATTTCACTCTATCCTCAGGAGACTATGTCACATGCCTTCCCAGTAGCTCGGAGAGGTCTCCCTCCCTTTAGTCCCCTCCAGGGCTGTACAGAGGTCCTGAGGAGTATGAGACATTTGGATCTGTGAGCTTCAGCCCCTCCTGTCTTTTACAGGTGTGTTTACTGCCCAAAGGGGTGGTCCCTCAAAGGCAGGTGACACTACTGTTGGCCCAGGGTCACGATCTCCCTCTGGAATCCTGATGGATTCCTTGGCTCTCCCTTGGGCACTGTCCAGCTTGTAACCTCTGTCCTCAGGGCAGTCTGTATAGCATGTTCCCCTCTCTGCCTCAGGTTCCTTCATATGGGAAGGTTTGGAAAGTTCCTTTTGACTAAATCAGACAACTTCTCATTTGGAAGCCAACAACCTAGGCTTCTAACACACAGCATGGTGGCCTTGCCTGTAATGCCAGCATTCTGGAGACTAAGGAATGTGTATTAGTGACAACCTGGGCTACACAGTGACTTAAAGGCCAGCCTGAACTACATAGTAAGACTCTGTTTCCAAGAAACAAAACAGACCGACAAAACTTGGGCCCCTGAGAAAAGACAACAGAAGAAAGAAAGGAGGAAAGAAAGGAAGGGAGGAAGGGAGAGAGAGAGGGAGAGAGGGAAGGAAGAAGGAGAAAAAAGAAAAAGCTAAAGTGGGTTGGGATATAGTGAAGTTGGAAGAGAGTTTGCCTAGCATGCACAGAGCCCGGAGTTTGACTCCCAGCACTGTATAAATCAGATGTGGTAGCACATGCCTTTAATCCCAAAATTTGGGAGGTGGAGGCAAGAAGGAGAGTTTAAGGTCACCCTCAGCTACAGAGTGACTTGATCTCAAAAGAAAGAAAGAAAGAAAGAAAGAAAGAAAGAAAGAAAGAAAGAAAGAAAGAAAGAAAGGAAGGAAGGAAGGAAGGAAGGAAGGAAGGAAGGAAGGAAGGAAGGAAGGAGGAAAGAAAGACTATTGCATTGTGTTGCATACCTATCATCCCAACCCTTGGAAGCTGAGGCAGGAGGACAGGGCTTCTAAGGCCAGCCAGAGCTAGGGGAGACTTTGTCTCAAAATAGGTAAACAAACGAGAACAAAAAATGAACAAAACATATGAATTAGGAAGAAAACACTCAAGTTCATATTGCAAAAGGGACAGTCCTGCCACTTGGGGAGCCTCAGGCCTCCTGCGTTGTCCTGCTTGGCTACTTGCTTTCCTGCCCTCCCTAAGCAGGTTTCATTCTGTTTAGCAGACATCAGACTTTGGGGCAATGGCAGAGGTGGTGAGGTTTGGCTTCTTGCCTCCACCAGCAGGTCCAAGTACAAAAGCTGGGTCAGGAGAAAGGAAATCCCACCAAATGAGTCTTCTGTCCCTTCCTTGCTGTGGTCTGTGCTCAACCTTTGGTCCCAATAGAAAACAAAACCCCAAAACTAAGAACAGAAGGGCAGCAAGAGACACTAAGGTGATTCTGTGCCAGGCCGTGGCCCTAAGCACACAGGTCACCCTGGTCATCCCCTTGGTACCTGACAGATCAAATCTGCCAGGAAAAGGCTGTACCCTTGTCAGGGTTATAGCATCAGACAGGGGGTTTCTGGGAGGCTGAACATATTTTGAACTGAACCTTCCTAGAACATGTAGGAGGAACTAAGCTATATCACTCCCCCCTCACAGATGGACCCAGTCCAGAAAGCTGTCATCAGCCACACGTTTGGGGTCCCCTCCCCTCTGAAGAAGAAGCTGTTCATCTCCTGTAACATCTGTCATCTGCGGTTCAACTCAGCGGTGAGAGGGAATCCTGGAATTGGGGCTCGGAGGGAGTAGGGCCTTGTTGGGGCTGGTGTCATAGGAACTGGTAACAAAGGGGCTGTTGCTCTGACCACCATCCTCTCTAGATTCCTGCCCCTTCTCATACTTTTTCCTGCCTACATGTAGCCAACTAGAATTCTGTTCTCCTCCCCTCTGCTTCACACCCATCTTCTGGATGTCCCAGGGGCCATGGTGTGAACTCCTGGTCTTGACTCAAGATGTTTACAGCATGTATTATAGCATCTTTTGAGAGGGGCTGGAATTTGCTATAGAGACCATGCTGTCCTCAAACTCACAGAGATCTGTCTGCCTCTCTCTCTCTCTCTCTCTCTCTCTCTCTCTCTCTCTCTCTCTCTCGTGCTGGGATTAAAGGCACGCCCTATCATGCCCAACTTGATTGAATGTTATTGTAGTTGTTGAGACATGGTCTTACTATGAGACTCACTCTGTAGACCAGGCTGGCCTCAAACTCAAAGAAATCTGCCTGCCTCTGCCTTTCTGGTGCCTGGATTAAAGGTGTGCGCCACTACCTTTCATCACCTTAATGGACTCCCATGATGCATCTGTGAGAGGTACAGAGGCACAGTTACCATCTTCACTTCTCTGAGGAGGACACGGCCTCACAGTGGATAAATAACTTGCTGGGGAGCACAGCTGGTAAATAGCATTTCTGAGATTTGAAACCAGCCCTGGCTGACCCTGAAGTCTGCACACTCCTACTGCAGCCTATCCTGGGGAAGGGGAAGGGAGAAGCCTCATTGTGGGGTTTGAGTGAAATGTCAGAATCACAGTGGACTGTAGCCAGAGTTCAAGGAAGGGCTGTGGAGGCTTGTCTTTCCCACTTACGGGAAATAGATGAGAAACAAGTAGAATCTCCTGGCTGAAGTAAAGAGGATGCTGACACCCCAGCTGTGGCATTCTCTCCAGATGTTTAGGTCACATCATTCGACAAAATGTAGACAAGAAGAGATTTTCTGGAAGGGACATGTCTCCATTCCTAGGCCCAGGCAGAATGGCTGGGCCAACAGCAAATGCTCAAAAATTATTTCTAAAAAATGAACAATGGGATTTTTTTGATGTCCATAAACCCCAAATATGAGGATTGCTGTGCTTTTCATGGGCAGACTCCTTAACATTCAGGAAACCTTACTTTATAAGCTAGACCCTCACAATTCATGGCCCATTTAACCTGAACAATCACAAAACTTCAAGAGGGGCACAGTGGTAAACACCTGTGATCCTCTTATTCCGGAGGTGAGGCAGAAGGATGGAGTTTAAAGCTAGCCTGGGCCATGCGTAAGTAGTCCACTTTCAGAATATTCTGTACATACAGACAGACACCCAAGGACATCACTTGGTGAATGTGCCTGGGTTCAACACTTCTGGATCTGGGAACACAGAAACAAACAGGGCTGGAGATGTGGCTTAGTGAAGAATATTTGCCCACAAGGCTTTGTGTTCAACTCTAAGTTCAACACACACACACACACACACACACACACACACACACACACACTCGATCTTCCTTTGAGTGAGGTGCTACAACTTTCCTAAAGATGCATAGCTTATAACTGGCTAAGTTTGATTCTGAAGGCAGGCTGCCTGCATTGGAGCACCTGTGTGAGAACCAGTTCTGTAAACCTCAGGACTGCATACATGTGGAGATGATGGTGACACTTGACTTCACCCCTTTGTGGCCAAGCCTTGTGTCCTTTTGATCCCATATTCCTCTGGCCTATCCCTCTGCTCAACCTTACTTCTAGATGAGGCATTTGACCCAAGGGAAGGTGACCCTTCCCTTCCCTCTTCCAGAACCAGGCTGAAGCTCATTACAAGGGCCATAGACACGCCAGAAAACTCAAGGCTGTGGAAGCTGCCAAGAACAAGCAGAGGCCTCGAACCCTGACCACAAATGGGACAGTGGTGTCTTCAGTCTCACCTCCAACCAGTGGAAGCCCTGGAACCCCCCAGAGGAAAGGTCAGTCTTAAGTTCGAGTCCACACACAGAGGCTGGCTTCTGACAGTGATTGAATGACTCTGGCTCTTCAACCATCGTTCCTTCCCTTTTCTTTTGTTTGGTTTTTCATGACAGGCTTTCTCTGTGTAGCCTCAGCTGTCCTGAAACTTGCTCTGTAGACCAGGCTGGCCTCAAACTTACAGAGATCCGTCTGCCTCTGCCTCTGCCTCCTGACAGTGCAGTGGGATTAAAGGCATATGCCACTACTCCCTGGCTTAAAAAAACAAACAAACAAACAAACAAACTTGGGATTGTGTGTGTGTGTGTCTGAATGTTTGGGTGCTCATGCTCATGGAACACAGAGGCCAGAAGCGAGCATGAGATCCCCTGGAGCTGGAGAACAAGTGGTTATGGATGCTGGGGATTGCACCCCATCTGCAGCAAGAACAGTACATGCTCTTTACTGCCGAGCCATCTCTCTAGCTTTTTACCATCTTTCTTGCTTAAAAAATGATCCCATAGGGATGGGGAGATGGCTCAGCAGTTAAGATCACTGGCTGCTCTGCCAGAGGTCCTGAGTTCAATACCCAGCAACCACATGGTGGCTCACAACCATCTGTAATGGGATCTGACGCCCTCTTCTGGTGAGTCTGAAGACAGCTACCATGCACTCACATAAATCAAATAGATAAATCTTTAAAAAACAAAAACCTGATCCCATATATACAGACATAGGCAGACACCTACTGCTCCTTCCTCAGGATGACTGGATCAGGCAGCATGTTGCCAGCACACCTACCTAGTCTGACCTAGGATTCAACTACTCCCTGTGTTGGTTCCCTAAGCCTGGCAGAGCAAATGGCTACAGTAGGCAGCTGAAACAATAGAAATGTATTCTATTCCACAATTCAGAGGTCAGAGGCCTGCATTCAGATGTGGGTAGGTTTGGTTTTTCCTGGGGGCCAGAAGGAGAAGCCTCTGTGTCTCAGCTAATGGGTACCACTGTCCCCCACACTCCTTTATAAATGGAGGAAGGAGAGTTCAGTTCCAGGTCAGTCTGGGCTACACATCACATTTAAGACTAGCCTAGGTTCTATAAGACCCTGTCTCAGAAAACAAAGGACCAGGAGTTGGGGGTATAGCTCAGTGGGTACAGTACTTAAATACCACTTGGGAAATCCTGGGTTTTGATTCCTAATACCATGATGAAACTGGGAATATTGGCACAGACCCATGATCACAGCACTTGGGAGGTGGAGGCAGGAAGACTAGAAGTTCAAAAGTATCCTCAGCTACGCAGTGAGTTCATGGCCAGCCTGAGATCCATGAGACCCTATATGATCTAGTACCCCACCATTCGCCTGTATGATGGATCTCTCCAATTTCCAATTTAATGCTATTTAATAGTCTATAAACATTCTAGCACATCTTTCTGGTGACTTCTACGTACGCAATACTGAGGCGCTAGAACGTCAGGCTGAAAGTGTTACCTATTCTGTCCACTTTTATATTTATACAGGGAAACTGAGGCTCCAGTTTGCCTAGTGAGTTGGTGGCAGGGTGAAACCAGGTGCTAGCTGTCCTTAACCAGGAAGCCTTCCCGCCTCCCATTCTATCACATCAGCGCTGTGCCTCAGAGGTCCAAACCTCCTCATATGTCCCATGTCCTTGCAGGTCCTGCGTCCCCTCCTCTCGGCCCTCCACTTCAGCTACCACTGAACCCAGACCCATCAGCCGAAGACCCAGCCCACTCAGAACTTTCCGATGCTGCTGCTTCCTCTTCCTCCTCTTCCTGCCCACCCTGCTCCCCAGATCCTAGCAGGGAGGTCCCAGGGCCTGAGCCAGCAGAAGTGGCTGTGGGGAGTGGAGTAAATGGGGAAGGCAGGGCTGAGAAGGGACGCCTCTACTGCCCTACCTGTAAAGTGACAGTGAACTCCGCCTCTCAGCTTCAGGCTCACAACACAGGTCAGTGCTTCCCAGGCGCCATGTCATTCATGGGTAGGTGACAGGACCCTACCCACTGTTACTAAAAGACATTTCTGGGTCCTCCTCTTCATCACAAAGGAGGAGCATTGGGAAGAGAAGTCTGCAGCAACCAGAACCGAAAGTCACTAAGGACTGGAGTACCCTTCTCCGTTTCCCTTTTTCCTTGGATCAAAACAAAAGGAAGGGACTTTTGCCCAGCTGTCTATTTAAAAAGGCCTTCCTCCTTGAGGGATGTCCATAGGAAACCATAGATGCTTCCCAGGCAGAGATTCTGGGAAGAGAAAAGCTTGTGTGGCTGGAAGGCCATCCGTGTTCGGAGGAGCTTCCAAGCTAACCTAGTTTGATGCTGTGGCCTCCCTTCCGTACTGAGTGACTGTCTTCTTTCCTTCCAGGAGCTAAGCACAGATGGATGGTGGAAGGTCATCAAGGGGCTCCCCGAAGGGGCCGGGGCCGTCCGGTGTCCCGAGGAGGGACTGGACACAAGACAAAGAGAGTGATAGGAAGTCGTGGGAGCTGGCAGGGACCCAGCCCTCCTTTCCATTGTGCTCTCTGTCAGCTCCACGTCAATTCAGAGACCCAGCTCAAGCAGGTAGGAGAAGGGAGGCCAGGGTAGGTGGGTATCAGAGCAAGGGAGGAAGGGTTGATGCTCACTGACAGATGGACGTGGCAAGGCTGCCCACGACTGCCCCACGCTGAGAACCTATAATGTGTGTGTTAAGCTATGGGTAAGAGAAGTCTGAGATAGTCTGGGCAACAGTATAGTTTGGATTCTGTGGGATTTCTATCTCATTCCCAATCTGTCTGTCTGTCAGCACATGAGCAGTCGGAGGCACAAAGACCGGCTGGCTGGGAAGCCCCCCAAACCCTCCAGCCAGCACAGCAAACTGCAGAAACACACGGCACTGGCTGTGAGTGTTCTCAAGGTACCTGTCTCTAGGGAACCAAGGTCTACATAGAAGAGAGGAGGAAGAAGGGCCAGCTGAAAGGCTTGGGGGGGGGTGGCAGGAAGGAGGCTGCTGACCCTGCAGCTGCCTGAGCAGGGACAGGGTTAGGAGTGGGGTTGGGCTATCCCCAGAGGAATTTCCTGTGGGTAGGCTGGGCCTAAGGTCATAAGGGGCAAAAGCCAGGGGTGGGCGTACTTATCCTAGAGACCATCTCTTCCTACCCTTCACAGTGCGCCTGTCCTGAGGCTGTCCATCTGCTGGGCAGGAAGACAGCTGCCACAGCAAGCCCCCTGGCATGGCTGTTCGGGGGTGGCTGGGAGGAGGTCTGACTTAGAACTCTAAAAGGCACGTCCCTGAGGCAAAAAAGCTCCTGGATGTGTCCCAGGGAGGGGGCGGGTTTCTCTGGTATCAGAAACCTTGTCCATTTCTGTTTTTATTATAGTCTAAATTGGCCTTGCAGAAGCAACTCACCAAGACGCTGGCAGCCCGCTTCCTGCCCGGCCCGCTGCCCAGCACAGCTGCTGCCATCTGTGCCCTGCCAGGACCCCTGACCCTCCGGCCTGCCGCGACAGCAGCGGCTACCCTCTTCCCTGCTCCTGTCCTGGGCCCAGCTCTGTTTCGTACTCCAGCAGGAGCTGTCCGCCCGGCCGCAGGACCCATCCTTTTTGCTCCCTATTAGGGGACTCAGAATGGCCACATCCTATCTCTTCCAGCCAGACACTTGTCGCCACAACCCACAGAGACTGCCTTTTGCAGTTTCCAGGTTCCCACCAACCTGGATATCTGCTCTTCACTCAGACTGGGGTTTTTCCAGTCCCCTGGCTCTGAGGACCACTACTACCCTCCTTTCCTGGGCCAAGCCTAGGCTGCCCTCCATCTGTGGTTCAAAAATTTCCAAAGACCTATGCAAAAATCTCAGCCCCAGTCTCATGGTGCTCTCATACCCCGACCCCAACCAAACTTACACAAAGCTGATACATCTTTGCTCCCAAGAGCCAGCCTCTCCTGCCATGTTCTAGAACTGTCTGGACAATCACTAGAGATAGGGATCTCAAACTGAAGTGGGCTGGAACCTATCAGGCATAGTTACTGTGGGGTAGCCAGGTCTGGTGGTGCATGCCTGCAATTCTAGGACCTGTACTATAAGTCAGTCTGGGCCATATAGCTCGACACTGTCTTAAACAAAGCAAAACAACCATATGTTGACTACAGGGTATGTATGGCAAAGGGCCATAGAGGTAAGAGGCCCCCAGAGTTCTTCAAAAAATATACTGTGAAAGGGAGGCAGAGCTGAAAGGAAGCTCTATCTGTTTTGTGGGGATGGGACTCAAAGGTAAGGGTGGTGCTCAGGCTGGGCCTGACTATAGTCCTGGCTGGTCTGGAACTATGTAGGCTGGCAACTCAAGAAATCCACCTGCCTCTGCCTCTTGAGTAATGGAACTAAAGGCATGCACCACCCTGCCTGGTCTGGCTTTAACAGAGGTGACCTATCTTAGCACAACTGTTCTTCTTAGCCTTTCAGTGGTTTTTCTTGAACCCTAACTCTAAAGAGGCTCTGTATCTCCCTCAGCCTAGGGACTCTCCACTCCATACTGGGGTCTGACCATCCCAGGTGTGGCATTTCAGGCTGGTACACTGTCCAATATGCCCTCAAGATCCACTTTCATGTTGCCAAAGCCAATGCCATTCCCCCACTCAACATGGGATTCTGCCAGTATCCACCTATATTTTTTTTTTTTTTTGAAAGGTATTTCCAATGGGACAAGAAAAGGGGTAGGGGACGGGAAACTTTTTGATAACAGCAGTTGTGGTTTTATTGTGTCCAACACATCAATAAATGAACTTCAAGCCTGAGCCTGTAGGTGCCCTGACTCTCCTTGCCCAGGCCTGGGCACCAGCCCCTTCTCACCTGTTCCGGGAAGAAGGAGTGGGAATTGGAGGTGGCTTGGCTGTAGTGTCTAACTCATGTGAAGTGTGCACATCAGAAGCACAAAGTGGGCACCGCAAGTTGAGGGTTATAAGCTCACTTGATAGCACAAGCCTCTAAAGAAAGGCCTGTCAGCTTCTAGGAAGCTGCTACTGGTTTGCCTGGTTCTGTTCAGGCATCTGAGGTAAGAAGGAAGGGCTAGAGGTGCGGCTTATCCCGCCTTCACCAGGGCAGCAGGCATATAAATACAGAGAGTATAAATATAAGTCCAGCTACTAGCCAAGAACAACCAGGAGGGACGGACACTGCCCTGTAGGCAGGTCCACATACTGTGTGCCACTTGCACCACTGAGCAGAGTGCACTCCTGCCCCCTGGTGGTTACGAGAGGCTTGCCCAGCCTCTAGGGCTGGTCGGTGTAGCACCTTGAAGAAGTTAGAGCAGGGGCAGAGACACACAGGAGGCCCAAGCCACCAGCTTTAGAAAAATCACAGAGCTACCCGGGGCTCTAGTGATCATCCAAGCTCCTGTCAACTCACAGATGAGAAGACCGATGCTCAGAGAATAGCCTTGCTAAGTCACAGGGCAAGTGATAGCCCAGTCACCACTACCACTCTACCTCAGCCAATGAGACCTCTGCTCCTGAACAGAAAGAGGAAGCGAAAGAGCTGGGAGACAGGTAGAGGTCAAACAGAAAATGTCACTCCCAGGAGCTTGGCTTTACCCAGGCTTGGACAGTCCAGGGGAAAGATCAGGGTGAAGGATGAGGAATCAACCCTAAGCCAGCACTCATAAATATAAATGTATGCTTACAACACCTAGTCACTCTTTTCAAGCCCAGGCTGGTACTGTGTGTATGTTACTGGCAGGAAATTCAGAGAGTTGGGATCCCTGATAGGAGCCAGATCAGGACTGGGCACTTTGGCATGACAGCACTGCTTCCTGCACTAGGCAGACGGAATGGACACTAACCCATACGTGTCCAGGTAACAGGAGAAAATATGATCAGCTGGGGGTGGGGCGGGGACTATTATAGAAGGTCACGGGGAAGGCCAGCCCAGCTTCCTGGCCTAGAGGGACTCTCCCCTACTGACTGGGAAGAATAGCTTGCGTATGCCCTGTGCTCTCCACTCATCCTGGAATGGAGATGGAATGGTGAAGAAAGAAGGGCAGCTATTCAGCCATCCAAGGAGCCGCTGCCCTTGTTCTTGCGGCTGAGGGGGAAGGCAGACTTGCTCTGGGGCTGGGTCATCTTGCTGGCCAGGTAGATGAAAGGCTCTAAGAGGGAGCGGCGGTCAGCCACGGACACCTCCCACAGCTTCACCTTCTCTGACTTGGCCCAATGCTGGGCCACGTCAGGGTCTACACGACGCTGCTCCTGCAGATCACACTTGTTGCCAAGGACCACGATGGTGACCTGGAGAGGACAAACAAGAACAGAGGCTGTAGGCATGCCATGGCTCAGGATCAGGAATAGCTATCAGCTGTTTCTGGCCAACAACTGGGCAGGATGCAGTTCCCAGGGGAATTCTGGAGGACTAACAAGAACATAGAACCACAGAAAAGAAAAATTAGGCTGAGCTTCGTGTGTTAGGAGGGAACCTATTAAACTAAAGAGAAGAGCCTTTGAACTATCCTATCATATGACCAGCTACTTCTTGTGTGGGTTGAAGATCCTCTCCAATGACCTTCCCGGCCTTCTAGCTCCTAAACTACCTCTTGGCAAATGAGCACAACTGGGAACCATGGTACCATCCCAAAGCCTACCAAGGACCCACGCTCTCCTACCACTGGGCTCTCAGCAGATGTCCAGGACATGTACCTCCTTCTTGTCCTTGGACTTGTCAATCTCCTTCTTGAGCAGCTCGACACGCTGGAACGATTCTCGGCTATCTGTGCTGTAGACCAGGACGTAGCCATCCGTGCAGGAGAAGCAGTGCTTGGGCAGCTCAGCCCCATCCCGGAGACCCCGCGTATCATAGAAACGCACCTGCTCCCGAACCCCTCGGTCTGTCTCGATGGAGCCTACATAGATGTCCTCCTGGGTCTCGATCATCTCAGAACCTGGGTTAAAATGAGACTTGAGCACGAGTCAAGAGAGATGGGAAATAGGAGCAAGGTGGACAGACTAACAAGCCGACCGGACACAAGGAATGTGGGGGCTCAGAGAGACCAGACTTGAGAGTTAGACAGGAATGACTTGAGGAATGAGTGTCATGTCTTTTATCACACTAAGCAAAAGGGCAACACAGAACTGGGTGTGGAGACACACACCTTGAATTGAAGCTCTTGGAGGAGGGGAGGCAGGAGCAAAGGCAGGTTGATCTCTGTGAGTTCCTGGCCAGCCTGGTCTGTCCAGTGAGGCCCTCTCAAAGATGAT